AGGGAAACAGACACAAACAGAAACAGCAAATGGTACCATCCTTACAGATATTTTTAAACATTCATCTTTGTTTACAGTTTTTTCTTGTTACAACGAGGCAAACTCTTTAAATTCTTATAAAACTTTGTTCTCATGAAATCTCATTGCTTCACTTGTATCTTTTAGTCACTGTGCTACTAATCTTAGATTTTAGCTCATGTTTGCTGGTTTTGGCTTAATTCTAGCTATTGCTAGGCTGATGTTAGTTATTATTACTTTTTGTTTTGCTAATATTAACTTATACAAATTGATTTTCTTGTTTTATGGTTTAGCTATTGTTTTGCTAATTTCAGCTACAGTTCTGTTAACTTTAGCTTAGCTTTTGATTTACTGTTTAGCTTCAAGCTAATGTTGCTGGTCTTAGTTTTTGGTTACTGTTTTGGTTGTTTCCTTTAAACTACTGTTTTGCTCATTTTGGGTTTTAGCCTTTGCTTAGGTTGTTTTAGCTTTAAGCTATTGTTTCACTCTTTTAGCTTTCAGCTGCTATAGGTTTTAGCTGCTGTTTTCTGTTTTAAGAATTTGTTTTGATTGTTTCTTTGCTAAAAATTACTTGCAATTTGTTCAACAAATTTCAGCAGATTAGATTTTTTTTACCTGATTAGGCTAACCTGAATAATTGATTGATTGATTGATTGATTGATTGATTGACTGACTGGTTGGTTGATTGATTGATTGATGTATTGATGTATTGATTGATTAACTGACTGACTGATTGATTGATGTATTGATTGATTGATTGATTGATGTATTGATTGATTGACTGATTGATTGATTGATGTATTGATTGATTGACTGACTGACTGATTGATTGATTGATGTATTGATTGACTGATTGATTGATGGATTGATTGACTGACTGATTGATTGATTGATTGATTGATGGATTGATTCATTCAACCGTTATTTATACAATTTAGTCCCACTGAGCCTTGGGGACTCATTTACAAGAGAGACATGATTGATTGATTGATTGATTGATTGATTAATTGATTGAGTGATTGTAAACCCATGTCATTCCTAAAACCCTTAATGTGCACAATATGACTTGTAAAAGTTTATTTAGACAAAATAAAACTAAAACTAAGCCCTTTAATTACCTTTTGTCTTGTGTGTTTATCAAAGGAGCAGCTTTCTGATAGCTCAGAAGAAAGTTTTCCACTGGCACTGTGCCAAACAGAACAAGGCGCTTGTGTCTAAAGGTAATGTGTGAGGTGAGTGGAAAGATGTTTGTGTCGCAGGAACCACCTCTAAAATGTGCTGTGTGACTGAAACGTCTCATGTCCAAACAATGCAGTCCTGACCCGTCAGCTCGTCTGAACACAACATGAAGCTCGTCGTGTCATCTGCCCTCTCACGCACAGCAGCTGGACATGATGCTCACCCAGGCTGCGTGCACAGCGTCACTCACATGCTCACTTCAAAGAGAATGGTTCGCAGGGAGGACGCATCATTGAGCAGATGATGCACAACGAGTGTGCAGAACATTCAAACCAAGTCTGATCATCAGCAGGAACTTGTCTTTCTTTATTTTAGAGAGCAAAGTCATTTCCTGAGAATCTTTTATTAAAGTCAACCTGCAGGAAAAAACAGGAAGTGTTTCATCAGGAAGGCATAAAGACGGTTTCTTGTAATAATAGTAAATAAATACAAAATAAATCAGCCACATTTCAGTAAAAAAACATATTTTTATTAAAATCTTACACAGAGATCAACTTATGATGAAACAAGTCTGAGTTGGAGTCATTTAGGTCCAACCTCAGGAAAACATACTTTTGGTGCAATCTCATGCTATGTTGTGAAACACAGAGCTTAGAGTAAGTGTTATGAATGACTTTCAGCTACTACCAGCTTCATGTCTGTAAAACTAAGAGAGTTTTAAACTTGTTTTATTTTGCAGCCACTGATTGGCTGTGTGGATGTCTTAAGATGCATATTCAGTGATCACTGTCCAAGAGTTTCATTAGCATCTGCCCAGTGATTCATGAGATGTTTTGCTAACAGACAAACTGGGTTGGTTCTAACTGTTAATACATTTTTAAGCAAAGATCTTGTGTTATGAGTAGGACTTGGAACATGTGTTGTCATGAATCTCAGCTACCACCGCACCAGTTTGTAGCATGATGTCTATAATATTCATGAAAATAGTCAATTTGCACTTGAAAGAACAGAAATGAAAGTCAGTTGTAGTGAGACAGAGTGCATGTGAGTGGAGGAGAGGGAGGAGGTGGAACTGTGAGGCTGCAAGGAGCAGAGCTCACAAAGGTGCAGGACTTCAAGGACTTGGGTCCACTGTCCAGGAAAATGTGGAAGAAGAGTGTCAGCAAAGATCAAAGGAAAAGTTTACAAGACAGTGGTGAGACCAGCTGTGTTGTATGGTCTGGAGACAGAGACATGGACAAAAAGACAGGAGACAGAACTGGAAGTAGCAGAAATGAAGATGTTGAGGTTCTCTTTAAGAGAGACAAGGATGGATAAGATCAGGAATGAGATCATCAGAGGTACAGCACAGGTTGAACAACTGGGAGGTAAAGTTAGAGAGACCAGACTGAAATGGTTTGGACATGTCCAGAGGAGGGACAGTGGTTTGGACATGTCCAGAGGAGGGACAGTGGTTTGGACATGTCCAGAGGATGGACAGTGGTTTGGACATGTCCATGAGGTAATGGATGCAGTTAGAGAGGACATGGATGTAGTTGGAGTGAGGACAGAGTGAGGTGGAGGAGGATGACTCACTGTGGAGACCCTGAAGATGGAAAGGTCGGAGGAAGAAGAAGATGAAGAAGAAGATAGTCATTTTGTTGTTTTTAAGGTCTGTTGGTAATGATCTTTAATCATGTGGTCTCCATAAGTTAATCATCTGTAGATGCTCATGCAATGATGACTTTCTGTACGTTTCAATCGAATCAGTCCAGTGGTTTGTTAATAGACAGGCCCAGTCTATTCATGACCCATGGTCATCTTTAGGCTGCAGAACGTTAAAGAAATAAAAATAATATAAGTTATCAGAAAACATTCAACACAAGATGCAGTGAACTTTTCTTCCTGGAATATTTGTCTTTGCTCTAGATGATCTCAGTTTGTTGGATGTCAAACGGTGGATTTTTCCAGATGAGAAGGACTCTGAGCATTTCACAGAAGAGCCTCCTCTGTGCCACACGAGTGCTGGCAGCAGGAAGAGGAGCTCAGGAAATAACTTGACACTATTCAGTGAGAGTGTTACATAAGTCATCTCTTCTGAACAAACAGAAAGTGTTCCCTTTGTGTGTTCGTTGTTGTTTTCATCATATGTCATCATGTTAAAGTGCAAAACATTTCCCAGGATTGACAAAGACAGCATGTATTGAGCAAACCTCCCATCATGGAGCCTGGTGCTGCAGGGGTCAGCGCCACGGTCTTGTGGTCCTGAGGTTGCGGGTTCAAGTCTAGTTCGGGTTTGGAAGGGCTTTCAACAACAACAACAAAAAAAAACAGTTGTCAAAATTTTCCATGCGAGTTTGTTTGCTGTGGCCACCGCTGCAGAAAGGAGCAGCTGAAAACAAACAAACAAACAAAACAACAACACATTGTAAAGCCTAACAAGGTGATCTGATTAAAGCTGGATTTTCAGACTAATGAACAAACAGATGAATAAACTGAAACACTCACAGGAGAGAAAAATCAGATCAAAAAGGAAACGAGTAAAGAGCTCAGTGTCTTTGTTGATTATCTCCTGCAGCTGAAAGCAAAGAGGAAATGTTTTGGCTGCGTGTTTGTCTGTAGCTTGAGCAATCTGTATATCTCACCACGCAGATTCTAGTAATCAATGGATGTACATTTACAGCCCGTTAACAACTGACAGTAAGTTCATCTGAGATGGCAACACAGCCCATCAACCTGTGGCTCACCTCAGACTGTTTCCAAACAGCTGTGAGCTTCCTCAGGATAGGATGAGCTCAAACCCCGGCATGGAAGGCAGGAAGTCTTTCTTCAAGGATGCCAGGTGTTTCATTAATGCAAGCTTAGTACCAACGTTTATTTCAAGTCAGTTCAGTTTTTCAAAAATCACCTGTTCAATCCAACGTCATGTTAGGGAACAGTATAACTCAAATTCAAATATACACTCTTCACTTTACTTCAATTCATTCTTGGAAATGACACAAGACAAAGCAATACTGCAAGAAATAAGACATGGTTTGATTTCTTTTTCAAGGTTTGACCAAAGTAGGTATGACTCGGTTATTTCTCCAGATAATCTGATTTTAGACTAAAAGCTGAGCTGATGTTCTGCCGCTCTGTCTCTGGGCCCACCGTGTGACGTGGTGTCACGTGTTTCTGCACACACAGGGTGAAACTGACACGTGACTGCAAAACATTTTGAGCACACATTTACTGCCAGGTAAACATCCACAGTTAGAGCTGTCCATTTGTAGTCCGTGCAGTCACTCACACCAAATATAAAGAGACATGTCTGAACAGTGATCACTGACAGAAGATGATCTCCTGAAACACAACCCTGCCCTCTCAGACTGTCCAAGACAATTACCGTATTTTTCAGAGCCTAAGTCGCAGTTTTTTGCATAGATTTGTCACTCCTGTGACTTATATGCAGAAGAGACTTATATACTTTTTTTCCATAATCGTGATGCAATTTATGACTGACACTTTAATATTCGAAGAACTGCAACAGTCAGTCCTCCCGTGCGCAGTCGCTTCACTCAGCTGGTGCAGGCAGAGGAACGCTGCCAAGCTAGTGGCCCCGACCATGATGGATGGATGGATGGATGGATGGATGGATGGATGGATGGATGGATG